TGCCTGGTGTTCTGCGTTTTTCAGGGCGGATGTGATGGAGTTTCCCGGAGGTCGTTCAAAAGGTGTCGGCACGGTTTTGTTTGCCTCTCGAGAGAGTGCACAGACTGCGATCGACACGTTCAATAACTACGTGTTGGACGGGCGGCACATATCCGTGCGTTTCGACAGGAAGGAGATGTAATTGAATTGAATCGTGGGCATAGAAATAACAAAGTAGGAACAAAAAAATACCGCCTCGCATGTCGTCATCATTCGGAGGCATTTTTACACAAGGACCCCCGTTGCCCGAGCTGTACGTAACCCCAGATCCTTCTGGTTCTTTTCCTCTTTTGCAAACAGAGGAGAAATTATGGCATTATGGAGGGCAGCAGCAACACAGCTTATTGGGGCCTTGCTATTCAAATAGATTTCGAGGAGAACGGCCGTCCACTAGTTGACGAATTGAATGGGGACGCAAATAATCATGAGCAAATATGCAAATCAAAACCGAATGGAGTAAATATATAAATATGAAACAAGAAAAACCAATAATACAGACTGAAGACGAAGGACAGACACGTAACCGTCCGAAGTATAAGTAATATTACTATAGGGCTACCCTCCTGTTTCGTTGGAATGAGGGGACTCCGCCAGACAACCGAATTTGGCTGTTTGCTGTGAAGGCAGCAAGCGGCCGCACTGTTGCATTCCATTTCGTCTGTAGACGCCTTCTACTTGTCTAGACACATGAACTTATTATTAATGCCTATTTCCAAACGCAGGTGACCACACGAATACGTTGACTAGAGAAAGGCAGACGTGTAGCCGTCCGAAGTAGAAGTAGTAATACTATAGGTATTAAGGGGCTACCAATTCATAGCAGTTGTTCGGTTCTTAACGACGAAGAGAAGAAATAGTTCGCCGGTCTAGGAGGCTGGTGTACGTACATGCGCCCCCCAATACATCAGGTGTACGTATAAACAAAAAACACGTGACGCTATGCGTAATCAAAGGCCACCTCACAAGCAAACACAATCTCAGGTGGGCCGTCCGCAGAAATCCAACACGTGCACAGTGTCACGACCGCGGGAAGGACTAGATCGGACCTGCGAGCAGCAGCAAGAGCAGCAGCAGCAGCAAGAGCAGCAGCAGCAGCAGCAAAAAGTGGAGCGTAGCGTTATATTTTGGGGTTACGCGCTCGCGTGCTCTGGCGCACTGCTCTGTCTGAATGACGTTGATGATAGGGATTAGCAGCTATTCACTAGCGTAGTATACACACTCTTCTATTTCACTGATTATAGTATCTATAGTAAAATGCAAGGAACACTTTACATACGATGGTATTATAATTACTATCATAAATAAAGTGAAATACATACTACACAAAAGGCGCGATTCGCGTGAAGGTCGAGGATGGCTCCGTTATACTTCGCCGTCAAGAGGGAATCCGCACATTTCCTCAAATCCCACAACTGAAAAACAAACAAAAAGAAAGAATCAAATGCCTGTCTCCAGTTTAGGGCTTAAGTGTGTGAAAATATAAACAGTTCTTGTGAAGTGCTGACGCAGTAATGTGGGAAATTTTAAACACATGTAATCAGGGGATTGAGGAAGGAACGAAGAAGATGGTACAAACGCACGCACAGTGCAAACACAAAAGAAGGGCAATAAATGGGGCAACCCAACCCAAAATAGGGGAAGAAGAGAGAAGGATCGCGACTAGAAGCAAACACAAACTTGGGCGAAGAAATCGGAAAATGCAACAAAGAAAAACACTAGCAAAACAAATCAATTACCACAGTAGACACACAAAGAAGACGTGGCTTACCTTCACGACCCCCTCCGAATCCCCGGACAACAACATTCGGCCATCCCAGGCAGTGGCGAGCCTCGTTATTCTATTTTGGTGTTCTAGCAACGTCAATCCGTTGCCTGCACAAACACTTCGCCGCAGGAAGTGCACCTACTATAATTGCACGCTGCAGCAACAGCAGCAACACCAGCAGCAACAGCAGCAACACCAGCAGCAACAGCACCCGTAGCAAGCCGCTCGCTGAATCGGAAGCTGCACTTGATGCTGCAGAAGTACGTAACAGCACGGCTGCATTCACCCTAGTGCTTCAGCAGCAGAAATGGTGGCAACAGCAGAAGCAGCAGCAGCACCAACAACTGGAGGAGCAAAAATGACCTGAGAGGTTTTTCGGGTCAGCCTGCCTGGCGTCCCATATTTTGATAGTGCCATCGTAGGCGCCTGATGCGAAGANAGGTTTTTCGGGTCAGCCTGCCTGGCGTCCCATATTTTGATAGTGCCATCGTAGGCGCCTGATGCGAAGAGTTGAATTTCTTCATCTGTATATACACCTTTTGCCGTATATACACCTGGGGTTGCATATACATCTGGAGCTGCATATACACCCGGCGCCATTTCTTCTCCTGGGCAGAGCTGAACGCTAGGCGCCGCCTCGCCGTTTCGCAGCCAACAAACAGCCGAGACTTCGGCCTGGTGTCTGCACGCAGGCGTACAATTGGGAAAACCGACGAAATACACCAAACAGGAAAAAACAAAATTCAAGGGTTAGGGACGCATTCAAGAGCTCACGCATCCAAATGTACAGCTGCGCACCCATATGCACGTACGTGTGTATATGTACATATATGTATGCTTATGTTTATTTCGTACGCTGCCTTACCCAGTAAAAGTGGCTAGGCGCAGGAGAGGATCTACGGAGTAAAGACTAATCGTCTCATCGCGACTACCCGAGAGGACCTGCAGAGAAAACCACCGTTATAACAGAAACAAATAAGAAACGAACAAAGCATTCCAACAAAACATGGAAAAAAAACTCATCAAAAAAGAGCAGACGAATAGGCTCTAAATGCCGTCTGTCCTGAATCTATCGATTGCATTTACAAGTTAAGGGCGACCTAGATGGCCCACTGTTTTTTTGAGTAGGCAACAAAACTATATTCTAAGACACTTTTGAATTACAATTGAACTGCATTGCATGTACCTTTAAGGAACTGTACGTCTCCGTCACGTCGAGCCCTAATATGCCGTCGGTGTGAGCGTTCACAATTGCAGAGGTTTCTAAGGCCTCCCCAGGCACCGCGTCGGAGATCGTCCAGACAAAAAATTCTCTTGAGACAACGCACGAGATGCACAAACAAACCTTAAGGATGAAGTTCAGAAGGGTAGAGTATCGGCTACACACGCTGTCATTCAAAGAATATACANACAAACCTTAAGGATGAAGTTCAGAAGGGTAGAGTATCGGCTACACACGCTGTCATTCAAAGAATATACACGCCAAAAACAAACCTTACGGGTGAAGCTGAGAAGGGTAGAATATCAGCTGCACAGGCTGTCATTCGAAGAATATACAGCTACGCAACTGCCGGGCATGTACAGAAAAGGCAACAAGAGGAAAAATAAAACACATCATATACAGCCTGTAAGGTCGTTACAAACAACGTAGGTTTATACGAGACACAAACACGCAAGTCAACAAGATGCACGACAGGAGCAATGAGCACCCAGGCATCAGATAGGAACAACCTACTGCGTGGTCAGCACAAACTGAAGAGCGAGAAAAACTGCAACAACGCCATCAGGATCGTCAAGAGCAAGAACAACGGCAGCAACAGCATCAGCAGCAGAACCGAGAGCAGCAAAGAAAGCAACAACCGCAAGAACAGCAGCAGCACCAAAATGAAACTTGAGCGTACCTGTGCCATCGGTCGAAGCCAAAAACGCGGGAGGGATTTTGAGAGAAAATAAAATTTAGAATTAGGCGGTGCACCAACTGACCCTCAATTGCCAATTGTGCCAACTCCTNTGAGAGAAAATAAAATTTAGAATTAGGCGGTGCACCAACTGACCCTCAATTGCCAATTGTGCCAACTCCTGTACGCAGCGCAACCCAAATCCTAAACCATTACCCTAAACCCTGAACCCTAAGTACGAAATCTATACCCTTATAAACCCTAGAGGCTAGTCCACATGCGTCCCAGCCTAACAATAGCCTACGTGCGGTGCACGCTTGAAAGCATTTTGAATGAGCTCGTGTTTAGCTCGTAACTGCTCCAGTGCGGCTAGGGCTTAAGGCTTGGGGTTCGGCTTACGGTCTCTTGCAGCAGATCAAAGACTTTGTATTCACAAGGCTCAGCCGCTCCGCTTCCACTATGGCCTTTCTTTCGCCTGCCTCTGCCCGCGCTGTCTGTTGCCTCTGTCGAGCGGTGGCTGCAAGCCATGAGGCCGCTAGCTGCATCTACACTGCATCCAAGCCACGCTCCCCGTGGAAAGAAACGACATATTTCCCGCACCTCACCTGCTGCTGCTGCTGCCGTTGCGTCGCCGCTCGCCCTCCTGTGATCCCCTGCACCTCCTGTTCCAGCTGCAGCAGCAGCTGCTGCTGCTGGCGCAGCTGCATGACGCGAGCCGCCGTTCTTCCTGGTTCTGCCGCTGCCTCTGCGGCCTCCGCCGCCACCGCTGACCAGGCTCTCCAACTCCAGTTCTAGAGACGCCAAAGACGAAATGCTGCCTGCTGCAGCGTAGGTAGGCGAAACAGAGACGGAGGGGGCCCCCTTGGCAGGGCGGCGGCAGCAGCAGCTGCTGCTGTCTGACTTAGAAAACGAGCTGCTGCCGGGGAGGCTACCGCCCTTTTTAAGAGGCTCTATGACGCATAAGACCCTGTCCGCTGCTGCGGCCAATACAGCCGGTTTTGCATGCAACATAGCACGTAAGTACCTCCCAGCCCCAACAGCGAACTGCACTGAAGGCTGCGAGAAAGCCTCAGACTCTGGCGAACGATTGGCCGAGGCAGGATCCATGTTATTATATAGCTGTTGCTGCTGTTGCTGCTGGTACTCTGGCAGAGGCTGTTGCTGCTGCTGTTGCTGCTGCCGATGCTGTTGGCGAGTTTGCCGCGGTGTTTCAGGTGCAGGGGATCGGACAGTCTGCTGCTGCGATGGTGCTGCGGTGGGCGAGTCATGCTGCAGTTGCTGGTGCTGCTGCCGTTGCTGTTGGCGGGTTTGCCGCGGCGTTTCAGCTGTGGGGGATCTAACAGTCTGTTGCTGGAGCTGTGCTGCAGTGCGTGAGTGCTGCTGCTGTTGCTGCTGCTGCTGTTGCTGTTGCTGCGGTTGCTGCTGCTGTTCCTGTTGACGGTGGTGTTGGCCTGTTTCACGTGGCGTTTCATCTGCGGGGGATTCAACAGTCCGCTGCAGCAGCGGCGCTGCAGTGGGCGAGAGTGGCGTTGCCTCTGCTCTGGAAGCATATACGCCTTTGGGGTGTATGGACACCATGAAGAGTTTGTGGCTGTCCGTGTGCAGCGCAGCAAAAGAACAGGCGCCACTCTGCCAATTGTGCAGCGAGCGCGCATTCCACAGAAACTGGCAACACCATCCCTCGTGGCTGAACTGGCGGTAACCTGGGCCAGGCCGAGACTCTGCTCCCGTTAGCTTGATCTGCAGCTGTTGCTGCAGCTGCTTCTGCTGCTGCAGCTGCTTCTGCTGCTGCTGCAAGACGAACCCATCTCTGTCTATCTGGAGGCTGCACGTGCTGCCGCATGCGCCGCCGTATGGCCACCAGACGAAGCCACTAGTCTCAAACCAGCGGCGCCAGAGCGGCTGCACTCTGGGGGTTGTGAGCGCTGCATGCAGGTCAGTGCAGCAAGCCCCAAACCGCGTGGCATCTGCTGCTTCTAAGAAAGGCAGCACCGCAAGCAATACTGTCTCCCTTAGCAACGCGTCTAGGCAGCGACTNGTGGAGCTGCACAGACACCTGAAGCGGTGCCGCCATGACGCTCGCGGCTCTGCACCTTCGAGCCCTCCTTCTTGCTATTGCCCCGCCTTCGGCAACTACCTCCACCACTGCCGCTACCGCTGCCACCGCCGCTGCTGCTGCTACTGCTGCTGCTGCTGCGGGCAGGGCTTTGGCTGGTGCTGCTGCTGGTGCGGCGGCGGCAGCTGCGTCCAGCTTTGCTGTTGGGCTTCGAAGGGCGTTCCAGAGGCATCTGTTTGAACCCCCGAGGAGCGCACCGGCTGGCGTGCCCCTCGGGAGGAAGGAGGGCGGGACTAAGCCGCCTAAGTGGTCAGCGAACCCCCGAGAGAAGAGGTCTGTGCAGCATCTTAGGCTGCGCCGGGGCTGCGGGCTTCGAGCGCGCCTAGAGGCAGTTGCAGCTGCTGTAGCAGAATACGGAAATGGGGACGCCACCGCACACAATCTGACGCCATGCCGCTGCTGCAAGCTGCAGCCTGAGCACGGCGAAAAGCAACAACACCCTGCGAGAGCGGATGAGCCTGCAATGTGAACGGCACTCTCTAACTTTCAATGTTAGCGACACGACTAAAGTATGGCGGAAACAAACAATGCAGGGTGGGTGTTTGGTACGCACTGAAAAACCGAAGGTGCAATCAACACGTTCGAGCTGGGCGCCAACTGCAGTTTTCTCCTCTCTGCCGAAGCCCTCAGTGCGTTCCCTTCGCTGTGTGAATTCATTCAACTAGGCATGCGTGCATGCATGCTGCAACTATTGTTAGGCTTACTGCCCGATAAGAGGGCTCGTTCCTTCAGGGCTCCACTGAAGTCGTCGTCCGCTTCAATTCTTGTCGCAGCNACCTTCTAAGACTGCGACGGCTTTGCCGGCATTTGAACGAACTGCGGACTGATCACGGTGCGCCTCGCTTGCGTGAAGCAGCAGGCGAAACCGCCATAAATCCAAAGCGTTTAGGGCCCAGAAAGCGCCATAATCCCTAAACAGCCCATTTCAGCGTTCTCTGCTGTCTCAATGCTGCCGTGACCTGGGCAGCCGAGCACTGCATGCAGCGCGGCAGGCACTACCTTCTGTAACTTCTGCAGCAGATTTTAAGAATCTTTCATGAATAAGCATGCGTTTTTTACGTTTAGATTGACTAACAAGGACGTATTTCCGTATATTCCCACGTGCTTTCGCGTTGATAGCAGGAATACACACGGGTGCTGAAGCAGCAAGGAGGGGACCTACTCACCACTCCTGCCGGTCAACGCGACCGCGGTTTCCCGGAGAAGTATTGTTTAGTTATAATATGTAGTCTTCTTGTTTAGCTAGTTAGGACCAACGAAACAAGACACCTTCAGTTGGTTACATGGTGGGCGCCGGTAAACGCGGCTGATTGGGGGGCTGCCACTGTCTTTGAACAGTTCGTCAATTGCTTACGTGCGTATAAACGGTACAGCTGCAGTGCTTGAATGCATACTGCGACCATCACGTGGTGCAGATGCAACTCGCGGTTACAGAGCCCATACTGTTCCCGAAGGGACACAGTAAGGACACGCACAAGCGTGAGGTTGCTCCTGAGCCGTCGGAGGTGCAGCTCTGTCCCAGCATGTACAAGTGTGTAAGACCGTGTGCCCAAGTGAAGGACGCTTTCGTCCTCCCCAAATGTCAAAAATGGCGGGAGTTCGGAGTGATCGGAGCTTCGTAAGTGCATTCATGCATGGCTCCTACTTCACCTCGAATATGCTGCTTCCCGTCTTCGTTCAACAAATGCTGCCCCCACGGTGGTGTCTCTGATGCTCTGCAAGGGTGAATTAGGGATAGGCGTTTTGCCTCATAACGGCACACCGGGTGACGATGGCAGCTTCTGAGGGCCTGTCGGGTTGCAAGGGCATATGTGCATTCGTAGTTATGCGGAGGGGCATGAACCGTGCACTACTGCGCGGCTCATGCAGTTATTGGTGGTCCACGCGCTGTGTAGATGAACGATGCGCATTCTAAGGTTGCTGTGACCGGAACGGGAGCGAGCTGCAGCTAGCTGCACTTGGACTGGTGAAAGGGTGTCAAGTAGCTTTCTCTGCACCTACTATGTGGCTTCTAATTTGCCGCTGCACCTGAGGACAAGAGTGCTAACTACCATGGCAATCTGCCGCCCCCTTTTTGTTGTACCAATGCATTTGTTCTTATCCCGGGAATATCTGATAATTCACGCTGTGGAGGCGGATGAGTTTGCCCCTTCTCTTCTTCTAATTTGTATTCATTCTGTGGTGTTCGCGCACAATATCTTGTTTTCTTATCGTATGAGGCGTGATTATTTACTCTGCTGTGTAGTGGTATCCCTGCAGGTGCACGCAGTCAGTGTGCACAGGGCAGCACACCTTTCGCTCTTCAGAGGCGTCTCCGTGAACGTCTGCACTTCATTATGCATTTCATAACATCCCCGTTTCATTCGTTTCCGAGCTGCTTATATGTAAATATACTCCCTGCATATTAACGCACTGCAACGATGAAAGACGTCTTGGGGCTTTGGAGAGGTTATTGTTCTGCACCTGTGCTCGCTCTTGGCGGTCTTTTGAACAGAACAGCTCGCAGCATGTAAGAAAGCCAAAGGCTTTTGCAGTATGACAAAACATCATAATCCAGCTTCGGCGTTCGAAACAAACGGTCGACACTACGCGCCAACCTGTGACCATCTGCAGTTCCTGACTAGCGTGCTTTAGAACAAGCTGGCTGGGGCATAGTGATGTGTAAGGCCTCTGGGGCGGTGAAGCAGAGCGGAAAAGCATTCAGGGACGCTCTTTAATATTTGGGAGTAAGGACGCTCGGCAGGGCAGTATACGCGCTTTTGTTGTTGACCTCCGCCACGTCGCTACACGTAGGCTTCGACGGATGAGGACATTCCAAAGAGAGTACCTGTAGAGTAGCAAAATAAGGGTAGTTCATGCCAGTATCTGGACCGGTTATTAAAGAAGGCTACTACGAGGAATTCACAGGACGAAAGGAGTTGCTCCACTCAAGGATGAAGCGCTCGCAAAAAGGTGTGGCTTGCTTGCTTCGGTCTACAGACATTTTCTCGTATTGAAACAGTGGCGCATCCTCGTGCATGACCGGATATGTTCAAATATTATTGCCTTTGCCTCTCGGTTGTTTTCAACCTTTATATTCACATATTTACGTGTGTGTATGCGGTTGCTGTTGCTTTTATTGTGGTTGTGTCCCTGTGTGTGCGGAGTTGCTCCTCTCTTTCATTCACTACCGTAGTTTGGTTGAATTTGTATGTAAGTTATTACTGTTCCGTAATTCAAACCTTGAGTTTAAAACTTTGCTTGTTTAATCGGACGAATTTACTACAAGACCAATAGGACTGTGTCAGTGCTCTGTCAACAAATACTGGTACAGTCCGAGTGTATATCCCCATCTAAGAGCTACTTTCCTTAAAAACAAAATTCCACGGTTGAAGCTTCGCAGGTCAGTCAGAGCTGAGAAGTAGGGTGTGTTCTTATACAAGTAAAACAAGGGGTCCGGGCAAATATACATGGATACGTAAATGGCGTCAACGTCTTTCCCTGAGTTATTTTTACTTTCATGTGAATTCTGATTTTGTCATATTTTGATGTCGACCTCCAGAACGCCAAGGGCTGTTGCAGTTCAACCTGCACTGGGCCAGCCATCTGGCGACAATTTCCATCGGTAGTTGAAGAAATTAAACTAGTAGTCGGGAAGTGGTTGCTAAATGTAGTTAAGCAGCCTCTGTATGCCTCAGAATCCCTGCGTGGTTCTCTGTTCTGCTCGCAGGAGCTGCCATTCATATGTCAGGGTGCATGTTTAGTCATGTTGCGCAATAGATAGTGCCCTAAACTAATGCAGAGGATGGTAGGACAAAGCCAGATGATACGCCCCAGCGTTTGCTAGGTAAATATACCAGAACAACTGGCATGGAACCCTACTGCAGATCTCGTAGGTCAGCCAGAATGATGAGCAGCCGTTCTGCTTACCCTTCGCTGTTTGATGGAAACATATTTCTTTCCTCTACGAACTCCATCATCTGCCCGAAGCGTTGCAAGATCCTTTCGATATTCTCCACATGGGCTTGGGTCCGGCGCAGTTGCTCCTCCACTTCGTCTCGTTGCAGCGGCTGAGTGCTGCCGTAGTCTGCAGCTGCTTCCGAGGGCCCGCCAACGCCAGTGCCCCTGCCATTAACAGGCAAGGCCAAGGAACTCTCTCTGGGCTCCTCTATGTCTGTACCTGCAAGGAGAGGCGTGGAGGAGCCCTGTTCTTCTACCCAGGCTTCTCGCGGGTACTCAGTATAGAGTAGCCGGTAGACACTCTCCGTTTGCTCATCACTGCCCGAGTTATGCGGATCCGAAGGGCCCTGCGCCGTAGTCTGGAACAAGGCCTCCGCTGAAGGAGGCCTCCTCAAAGGGCCTTCCCTGAAGGGAGCGGCGGGCGAGGTAATCTCTGCGCCAAGTAACACAATGCCATCGAACTGCAGGATAGAAGAAGACAACAACCTACATCCTACAGATGCATACAACACGATACACCACATCACAGGGCTAGATAAGGAGGAGGATCGTTAGCATATCAGTAGTTCTGCGTTGTTTCTCCGTCCCCTGTCTTTCATATATCACTCATGCATCTAATGTATGCAGTAAATATCTGTTGCTTCTGCGGTGCGGCCTCAAACTCTCGCTTACCTCTCGGGGACAGGGGCCGTTGAGATGTTGCCGGAAACGAATTCGCTGCCGCACTGCTGCCTGGCGCTCTGCCGAGTTCAGCTGGGCGGTGAGATGTTTGCTGCCGCTGTGAACGCCCCACGAACTGCTGCGCATTTCCTTGCTGAGGCACTTGAGAGACGTTCTCGTCGTTAAAGCCGTGGGCTACAGACAGGGACCCCTCACAAGAGGCATGTTGAGCACGGGCAGCTGCAGGGCCTTGATCCAAAGTTGCAGTCGAATTCGGGTCAGCGGAACTAGTTTCACCTCTGCGGAGACAACAGGGCCGGAGAGGCCCCGAGGACTCAATGGACGAAATACGGTTATAGAGGCAAGGCGACTGGGACCGTGCAAGCTCCTCTCGCCGTCGTTCCTCCTGTTCCAGCTGCCGTCGTTGCTCTTGCTCCTTCTGCTGTCGTTGCTCCTGCTCCTCTCCCTCCCGCTTAGCCGTCTGCTGCTGTAGTTGGGCTCGATCTAAGGAGGCCCCCCGGCATTGCTGGCGCTGGGCCTCTCCGTGCGCTGGGGGCCGCCACCCGTTGGTCCTTATGGGCTTCAAAAGGAGGATCTCTCTCTCGGCAGGTGGAGACAGAGGCGCAGACATTTCGGGCGAGACAAACCAACTGTCTGCGCCAAGCTGCTCCTCCACCCAGGAACCAATCAGCGCATCGTCCGGCGTCAGAGGCACCTCCGTGGGGCTTGGCGCTCTGCCGGCGTCAGCTATTGGATCACTACCAGCTGTTGCTTCTGCATCGGACAATGCAGCGTCGGATGCAGCTGCGGGGTTAGCTTCGGATTTTCTGTCGGATGCAGATTCAGGTTCAGCCTCGGATGAGGCACTTGCTGCATCATCAGATGCGGCATCCGAAGCACCGTCAAATGCAATGTCGAAGGCAACGTCTTCTTCAACATCGGGCGTAAAGTCCCCCAAAGAGTCGGAGGCATCGTTGGATGTAACGGAGAGTGCATCTTCTAGATTGTGGCCTGAAGCGTCTTCTGGCCACTCAAATTCCTCCTCCGATAAGCCCTCGTATGCCGACCCCGATTGGGTTTCCGATCCAGTTCCGGAAGCAGTTTCCGATGCACTTTCCAGATCTGTTCCTGATGCCGTTTCCGTGAAATCGTCTGAATAATCGAAAGACCCATCGTCCGAGTAATCCCACCATTCAATGTATCCTGCATTATCATCTTCAACGTTCTCTACAGTAGCTGCTTCAGTAGCTGCCGCTGCAACTTCTGTAGTAGCCTCTGCAGCCTGCAGAGCATGGAACATTGCAGTTCGTGTTTCGCCGTACATCGAAGTGTCGGGCTGACGGCCTAGATAGGCAAGATATGCATCGACTTGTTCAATCGTTGGATGCCCAGTTGGGATATTTTGAAGGCTAGGAACCCTCAATCCACGGTTGGAGCAAAATTGAAGGTATCTCCGAACTGGGGGGACGAAGTAGAAGGTTCTGATATAATGGAGTTCAGCTCTTCCTCTTTCGGTTTCCACATAATATTCTTCGAGCATTTGCCTCTCACCCTCTGTTGCCTGCGCAGGAAGGTCCATATGCAAGGGAGGTGGCGGGTCCCAGGCAGAGGCGTAGCTCGGAAGCTCCTCTGACATCCAGCCCCATTCCTCTGGGTTGCCCCCCAGAGGCCTCTGGAATGGCACTGTACAGTTCCCCGACGCAGGCTGAGCGCGATCGGGGAAGACGCGGAACTGGGCGGCTGGAGGGCCGCTCCCGTTCGGCGGATCAGCTATCCCCTGAGCAGGAGCAGCGACAGCGCCGCCGCTCACTGTCTGCTGGGCGATGTTTCCTTCAGAATACTGGCAACCAGCAACGATAAAGGGAGCCTCCTGCCCTTCAGACGGGCCAACCATTGTTTCTGAAGGGCGGGGAATCTGCCAAGGGGCGTGCAGGTGCCCCTGAGAACCATCTGCACCGGCCTCTACACTGTTGAGAAATGAATGCTCAGCGCTAGAGCCAGGTAAGCTGCCTATAGATCGTGTCCCTCCAGCTTCAGCCGCTTCCATTGCTGCACGGGTTTGATGATTCGCCTCAGAGTCGTTCGAGTGTCCTTCTACCTCTCTAGAAGATTGAGAGTCCCAAGATTGCTCCTCCAACGCCGCCAAAAAAGCGGTGGCTCCTGAGTGAGACCGCATGGAAGACTGCCGCTGGGTGCTATAGGTCCTACCGCTACTGCTGCCAAGCCTGCTGTCGCTGCTGTTGATACTACTGCTCCTGTTGAATGGGCTGCTGATGCTACTGCCACGGCTGCTGCTGTTGGAGCTGCTGATGCAGTTTTCGGTGATACTGCTGCCGACGTTCACTGGCGTTCGCATCTGTNCAGCTAGAGGTTCTGCCTCCTGTGCTCCAGCAACGCCGCTCCTGCAGTGACTGCTGTTGCTGTTCTCGGGGGAAGGGAGAGCACTGTGAAGACGAGTCCCTCCGTCTTGCTGATCCTGGCTATGACGCGTTTCACCCTCTTCTTGAGATTCCATAACGATGGTGATGTCGAGGTCAACCTGCACGAGTATATTGCTCAGGAATGAAGAAGGTAGTAGAGGCACCCGCCTATCCAGAAATGGATCTGATATTCGGGTTGATGCAATGGCCTGCAACAACACACATACCACCGACATAGGGAGATATGTGAAGGTCCACGGTGATGGAGCTTCGGGATCTCCCATTTGCCTAACTTTCGAGAGGACCCCGCATAGCGGCCTCCAGTAGAGATGAGTATACGACACAACGGTGTACGCATAGTTCAAGTCAGGAAGGGATACACACTGCCATGAAGAACAAACAGGAAGGAAGACACTGCACAACACTGTAGGCTCCGAGGATTCTCCCGTGAGCTTCGCCTCAGGCAACTGGAGCCAATAAACTGAGCTACTATGCTAGATCTAGGCCATTCAAGCAAAGAACACTACCCATGAGTGCCCACGTGGGACGTTTCTCACCTGGCGCAACAGTTGTTCCACTGCACGGGCCCCGTGGTGATTGGCTAGGCCGTAGGCGCTCAGAAGCCATGCCCAATTCCTGTCAACGCTCATATTTCCAGCTGTACCGGATTCGATTCTACTGCTGAGGAAAGTTTCTAGATCTGATACCCCTGCAATCCTACACAGTTCGAACCCACTGGTAGAGCGCCCCTCAACACCTATGGGCTGCTGAGGACCTCGATAAGCCCTGAATTCCGTGGGTTCGGTGGGCCTCTGGGGCGCCGGAGACAAATTGAAGTCTTGGACTCTACTTGAAGGAATAGTAGACAATCTATGAGTCACGGATTGTCTGCGTTCTGCAACTGTCGCTGTAGTAGGCACTGCGAGCACAGTAGGCTCAAGCGCATGCTGGTCGACAACAGGTCTATGGGCACGGGTAGTAAGCAATGCCAACTCCATGCCCACCTGCAGACTCAGCGGGCACAGTGTGGCAAGCGAACGCAGTGCACGCCGGCGCCGAGCGGGCACCGCGCGCCCGCGGAGTATCCCACTTCGATGAGCCCCACGTAAATCAATCGGGAAAAAACCGCCGTCTGGCCTTCGCATCCTTGAAAAATACTTCTGTAGGACATATGAAAAATCCCGCTTCTGAGCAGCAAGGGAGGGAAACAGCAGTGTGAACTGCGCGCACGAGTACCCTTTTGCCAGCCGATGCTTCCCCCTTGGGCCGGCACTGATGAGTCGTACCAGCTGTTACAGCACACGACACTGGTAGTGGCCGAACTACAAACAAAACTGAGAAAGTAATAGAAGAGAAGCCTTCCAGCTTCCTTTAAGGCGAGCCAAGCAAACCGGAGTGACCACCGGAGTGACCACGCTGGCGGTGGGATATCCGCTTCATATACCGACAGAATCAAGCAGTAGGGCGTGAAACGAACTTTTATTCACACTTTTGTAGATCAATTTAAAATGGGGCTAGGTCGGAGGAGATAGTTCGTTCTGGAGTGCGAACTTGAATCGGCGATTCGAAATAATGGCCCCTTTAGTGCTCAGTGCCCGCCGAACCTGCGACGATGAGCCTTCCTTTCCCCCAGACTCTAGAATATGGTTAATTATAGGCTTAACATCAACAATTAGGTGAATACAAGTCCAAAGGCTTAGCCGTTTTCCGCTGTATATGCGCCTGAAACGCTAGCGAAGGGCATGCGAACAGCCTCTACGAGCTGCGGCGGACGCAGCCCGTGGACCTTGACCAAAGAGCCACTGGAGAGCAAAGGCGAAATGGGACCGGGGAAAAGGAACCTTTTTGCTCAAAAGTAAGGATCAAAATATTTAGAGGGCGGGCATATTCAATTTCACCATGAATTATCTGTCGAGGATGTATTTTAGACCGCTCATGCCCCATTGATAACGACCGCCCATGGCAAGCGGGGCCACAGCTTCCGAGGCGGTCCGACAGGTACTCGGATGTCTTGAGCTCCCGGGTATTCGCAAATCCACAAAATTATCATTACCTATTCGGTCAAAGATGTAACAACTCTTTGAAGTCTGGACAGGAGCGCCAGCAGTCCTCGTGCTCGTACAACCCGCTGAACGTGCCTGCAATACCCCGGGGGTTCTGCACAGGAACAGCAGGTCAGCTGGAAGGGTTTGACTCCTTGGTTAACCGAAATGTGTGTACTTCCCTTAAGGAATTATGTTTGTCACCGCTTTGCTTTGGGAGATAATTTCAGCATGCTGGCTGCAACGGACTTTTCAAGCTAACTCAGTCTGCCGAGAGCTTGCGTTCCACTGACGGCTTTCTTGCCCACAGTACTCCAAAGGGGAGAAATAACCAACTTCCCCGTGGACGAACACGATGAGTACAGAGCCTCAAACATGAAAATGGTCAGACTGGAGAAAATAATGACACCCGGGAAGGTTAAGAAAATCCGAGGGGGTCGGCCGCTCGCGGCTATTCCGGATGGAAACCCAGGCAACACTGCTCATCAGGTTGGAGAAAATAATAACATCCGAGAGGGTTAATAATATCCGAGGGGGTCGGCCGCTCCCGGCTCTTCCACCCGGGCAACACCGCTGAAGGTCGTTCTCTAGGCCCGATGCCGCTAGAGTGACTGGCTGCCTGCCTTAACCCAGCGGGCACTAAACAGTAATATTGTAATGTTGCTCTATGAGGCTACGTATGCGCTTAACACGCATTAGTTCCCGTAGTCTTACTGCTAGCTAGTACTGACGCCTTTACTTCGACGTACCCGCCCATCACTATCATTATAGCGCACCGAACTGGTGACGGCGCAGGCTTGCTAGCTGTCTAGAGTGGCTGAAGGCCCGTGAGACTTTGTCGTATCGTAGTAACAGCCGTTTTATGCTCTACATACTTCATTGGCTTGGCTCTGCAACTCGGAACGCCGGCAACCAGGTGCGGAAGGCGGAGGCAAAAAAAAGCGCTTGAAAGGAAATATGGGCATGCTCTAGTCAGAAGTGGATAAAAAGCACATATGCCATGACCGTGGTGTGACTCCGATGCCTTTAATGTCCTAATACATTAGAATCGCTGCCCTAACTGCTCGTGATATCCAGGGGTGCACGACGCATCGGCGGGCTCTCCTAGCACCAGCAACCAGTGCATTTTGTCTTGCATATGCATACAAAAAATATTCGAATGGAGAGTTTACAGGGATGGAAATAACCCCCGATGGGGTAGTACAGAGAACGGTAGACTATTTTCGAAACACCATTAACACACCGTTGCACAAGTTCGCCCCTAGACACTAGGAAATGAGATGAAGCTGTCGTAATGACAATGTATCGGATATGCTGGCAATCTATACACACTGCAAGTACTAACCTGTGATATCTAACAGCCTGCTCCACAACCAAAGCCACTGTGAAGGAGCTCAATCGTAAATGAGCTCAACTCTGGAGGAGTAATCTCTGCAACTAGAGGCAGTTTACTTCACACGGGAGAACATTTCACCAGCATATTGAGAAGGGAGGTCTGTACGATGCTTTGAGATGGCTTTGTCCCTGTATCCCATCATGATGAAAAACGCATCCAAGAAAGGCAGTGGAGACAGCGCAGCTTCTAAACCGTCTCTCCGCAGTACAGGTGAAGATACAGACTACAAAGGCTCTGCTCCCGATGCAGGGTGTTTGCTATCTACGCTTGCTTCTGCAGTGGTGCTGGGAAAATTCAATGTCTGGGTATCCAACAATTCTCGGCGACTCTGCTTCTTGTCTGCATTCACTTTCCCGAAAGGGATGAATGTGGAAGTGCACGCGCAACACCATTACGGTGGACGTGAATAGAAAGTCCGAACCCTAGATCCTGCTTCCCGCTTGGTCCTCCCTTAAAGTGCGATGTAACAGGCTGCGATTCAGTTGAATAAAAGAAATCCGCTGCACACGGGCGCTCTATAGGGAGGAATAAAGGGGCAAACGAGATGTTGTGCGCTTGTCTTCGGGGTTGCCAAGCACCCTCAGCGCCTCAACCGTTTTGACATGGACAGTTGCGCAGCAAGTAGTACCGCTCAAATACGGAATACTGCTATGACCTTCAAACATAAAAACTTGTAGCAAGTGAATTAAACAGATGCCTCTTCTTGTAGGTCATTCGCTTGTGCTCTATCATCTGCGAAATCGGCGTTGTCTGACTCTTCAACGGAGGCTGCTGATGGACTGTTAATCAATTCCGCCTCGTTGTGCTCCGGTTCTGGCGGAACTATAACTGGCACCTTTAAGGTCTGTCCACCTGCGCGCGTCTGCTGTTCTCTCTCCGCCTCCAAGACGCTCTGCAGTAGGGACTCGGGAATAGCGTCCACAGCCTCAGACGCTGCAGATTGTCGCACAGCAAAGTCCACACCGGGTTCAACTAGGTCCAAAAACAGACAAATACATTCCCAAAGAGGGCCAGAAATACTCCGGAAAGAGTGAAGGACGAAGTGAAGGACGATAGCGAACTCACAAACACTGGGAATTGCTGGACATCGTGCACTCTGCCAGCCTTCTCCACCACAGAAGCCACTAAATACTAAATCTCTTACTTTCGTGCACAGGCGATTCACTGCCCTCTGTAACCCATGAGGTCGAGTTCCCCGACTCCTTTTCACTGCTCCTCGATTCAGTGAGAGAAACGAATCTTTGGGCTAGCGCACGACTAAGCATCAGGTCGCAGAAAGCAACACATCAACATCACGCATTAAACACGGGCCAACAAGGAACTGGCTCAAATGAATGGGATTTGCTGCTGCATGCAGCATGCAGCAGTAGTGTCTTGTCCTCAATATAACCACATTAGCTGAAGGGGCAGCTTGGCTCATTAAGGCAATATTACAGTCACATCAAAGCCTCCTAAAAACAGCGCAGTCTTACCGGCAGACAAGGGTAAGCCACTTGCGTTCGTCCGAGAGAAGCAAATCTGAAACGACCTGAATGCAACGCGAATAGAAACAGAGAAGTGCGTGGAACGTAAGCACACAGCAATCTGGATCCAGAATGCAGGGAAGAGGCGAATAAACCAAAGGATGTCCTGGTCGCGTGGTGCGGCGGTCACTTACTCTCTGCAGCGCTATACTTGTAAAGCGGATGTGAACTTCCTTTCCTTCTGGTGTTGCAAGAACGCCGGTCCAGGGTGATCCTGCTGCACGGCCTGCATCCAAATCTGTTTCAAAAGTCTGATGCTGTTTCGTCGTAGAGTCAGGTGCTGAGTGGTCTTCGTCTTGAGAACCCTTCTCATTGCCGGCAGCTGCAACCTTCGCTGGCGTTACAATCCCCCCTGCCTTCATGACGCTGGGGCGGCGTTCATGTCCAGGGCCGAGCCCCGGAAACGGTGCGTGCTCTAAGGTGGTGCTATGCGGTGCTTGCGTACCAGCACCACCGCTTGGCACATCCAGCAAAGTTGCAGACTTGCCATGGATAGAACCGTCTGCTCCATCTGGCGGTGTGATCGTTACTGTGGTGGCCGTATTCTGTCCAGTCGTCTTGTGTGCAGGAGTCCCGATGAAATGACTGAGCGCTTCTTGCTCTTCTTGTGACGCAGGTTCACATACCTCGAGGACATCCTTAACTATAAGCTGGTAGACAAGGTTGTAGAAGTCTTTAGAGAGCATGCGCCGTGGGTACGCCATGCGGAGTTCAGTTGGTCTGAAGGCTATGGGAAACACGGAAGCCACTTTCGCCATCATCTGCTCTTCCGGCAGAAGCCGCTCAACTGTGAACATGCAATCTGCAACGAGTTGGGGGACAAACGGTAAAGAGTTCAAGTTCGAGACAACCCGCGCTTCACTGTAACGCTTTATCCCCCATCCTCCGTCTTCCGCATCTCCCTGCTTCACAATGGGTTCATCTGCATCGCTGTCCCACTCCCACTTTTTCGCTTGCGCCACCCGTCTCCGGCGACTTCTCCTTAAGCACGCGAGGTCTTCAAAGTCCAGTGGCATCCACGACGGCCTAAAGCAAAGAAGAGCGAACTCAGCATCCGTCAGCTTGCCCCTACGGATCCTCCGTCTGTCCTCCTGCGCCAGCTGCTCCTGCACTCCCACACGGCAGTGCCCAGAGGCCCCTCCAAAACCAGTGGCATTCCGCGCTCGTCGTCGTGAAGCAAGGCGTCTCGCGAGCTGCGGCTCTTCGTTGGTAGCCGCCGAGTCCCGCGAATCGACTCTGTCCCGCTCATTCGCCTTAGATGACTGCTTTGGTCCCCAGTCTAACAGCCGTCGCCGGAAGCACTCAGCCAAGTAGAAGGGAGAACGCACTGGCTCTCCATCTGTGCCTTCTTCGACCGCGAAAGATACAGAGCTCAGCAGAGAAGAAGCGGGGGGAGGCATGAGCTCCAGAGCCGCCGCATCTGGAGGCATACAAGAAGGAGCCAACCCATCGTACTGAGCCTGTTTCCTCCAGTCCGCCCTACATACCCACAAATCACACGAAAAAGCAAGCTGCTTAAGTCAGATACGTGAAAGTGTTGCACCCGAATATGCTTGTGCAGATGAAAAATTGTGGGTCTCGCACGTGAAATCCAGAGCATTAAGACCTAGAGAGAATTCCAACTGAAGCAGAGAGCCGTCACTGCTTCAACGCTCACTGTTCAGCATCCGCAGACGAAGGAGGAATGAAGACCTCATCTGGTTCTAAGCCTAAATCCATTCTTTGTTTATTGAGAGTCTTTAGCAGACCAATGACCGCCACAATGACCTCATCATCCACATAGCGAACCTCTGTGTCATCTTCATCGCTGGAATCGTCGGAAGGCGGCGGGCCCTGCGAAGGCTCCTGACTGGCCCCTTGAGACCTGGGGGTCCTCGTTTCCCTTGGCGTTTCATATTCTTGTTGAAGGTCCTGGTACTGCTTGCCCATGCGCTGTAGCAGCAGACGTCTATACCTCAGTTCGAAGTTGCGCGTATTTTCTCTCAAGAGATTGTCGGCTCCGCGGGTCTTTCGCTTTCGTTCCTTCAGAACCACATGGCCATCCTTCACCAGCTGCTTGGCTGTTAGGAAAATATACTTGGGAATTCCTGAACACCACAGCAGCTTAAAAAGCCAACGCGAACATAAACTCAATCAAACAACAAGTGAACATCGGAATATGAACTTTGAGCGCAGACCCAGAAACGCCACGTGGAAACAGCTGCGCAAAAAAAAGACGCGTGGCTCTGGGTTATATACACTGCGCATGCGTGCCGTTAGCAGCAAAATTCACCTGCTGATACACGGTGCACATAGTGCACGAACTCGGCAGTCAAGTACTTCCGGTTTATATGCAGGCAGTGGGACAAGAAGCTCGCAGTCTCATCCTCATTCAGCTTGCCTGTGTGCACCAGCAGCAGAGCAGCAACACTTCTGCTTACTGTCAACTTCAAACCCTAGAAAGCCGGGCTATAACAGAATTCGTCTCTTAAAAGGTAAGGTACCACGGGGCCACCCCTTCGCTTAGCTTACGCAGCTCAATGTATGCGTTGTTGTCCTTAGCCATTTGGACAAGTTGCTGCTGCTCCGGGACATTGTCAGTGGTGTCACTGTGCATTACACGCAAACAATTGCACATGCGCCTCAAACCATAAACCCGTTAAACAGCTGTGGCCATGAAGCCGGGATTACTCCAAAACAAGTATACACGCCAGCTGGCGCACCTGCATATGAGGACAAAAACCAGCGGCTGGTAGAACTGCGAGGGAAGAGGCTTGCATAGACTAGTGGACTGCACGGGGTGCGCCTTCCCGCTGCTGTCCACCACTGTCGCAGTGCGATAGCCTTTGCCTGTAAGCAGCACAAAACGACGGCCTAACTTTTTGCAGTAGTCGCCATCTAAAGACCTTCCAGTGACGGGCAGCCACTGCTAGAACCTTGTAATCAAAGGCAGGAAAATTGAAAGCTACTGGGTAAGACAAAAACAGCCCAGCCCCAAGACCGAACGCAAATGAGAGGTGCTTGTGTGGACGGGTGGAGGGCCAAAAGGGGGGTTCTTCATACGTACACCACCAACATTTGCGCGAGTGTTTGCACCGCCACTCTTTCAAGTTTCTCATGTCATCATCCAGACGGTGTTGACGACGAACAAGAGAAACCCGGGCCACAAGGCGAGCGACTCTCCAGCTGTCGCGGTCCATCTATACCAAACAGCGACAGCACAAACAGCCCACGCACGGGAGGAGACCATCAACTAGTGCAGCTCCGGGGTGACCAGGCCCAACAGCCCACTCGCTATTCCCCACTTGTCTTGCCTACAGCGGAGGTGGACGAACCTCAGCGAAGACACTAGTGCCCGTGCGAACATGTAAAACCACAATGGAGCTTTCGAAGAGGGAAAACCCGTTGACGAGAGACGCGATGATTGGCGCAATCGACTCCCCGCTCGGCTGCACATCCACATCAGCTCTCGCAGCAAAATAACGTTAGGGAACAGTAACGACAACAACTGAAACAGGTCACTAAGCACTATTAGTTACACTGAGCAACGAAGAGGCACTGCGTTCACCAGCAATCTTGCTTTCGATATGTGGCTTCAGCACTTACCCCGTATAAATATCGTGGAGTAGACCCCTCGCTGTCAGAAGTCTGGCTGTCATCTGCGGCAGTAGCATATCACCCTGCGTATTAGCAATTACTGCCGCGTTTCTGTCCAAGGTCGCCCATGAGACGGTGCACTCAGTCATCTAGACAGGCATAGGGTGCTCCGTTGTACTACACTGGTTTAGAGACCCATGTGACACACACTCCCTGTTAGTGTGCGGGCTTCGATGCCCCTGTGACAATTTGCACTGTCCAAGCACATTAAGGCCGCACTGGAAATCTACATGTGGAGTGGTAGAGTCAGGGTGTCGACGTGCCTGAATTTGCTTCAGCCAGACCCAAGTCTACTCCAATATTCTTAACTAATGCTTGTGGGGCAATCCGACGGCCTGCTTGTTCCACCCACTCTGCAGGCCTGTGCAGCAGAGCCATAGTGGGCGACATGGGGACATATCCCTGAGGCACAGCAGATCACAAAGTGCCTAGCGTCTCAAGCGAATGAGTAATGAGGTGAGGCGCAAAATGCGTTAATCTACCGGCCGAAAAGTCCGTAGGCCAGAATGTGGCTCCCATTGATGGAAAATCCTCATAAACGATAATCGCACGGATACCTAGCGATGCGCCCCTAACGTACAAATACTTCTCCATAGCCCACCTGCTTGCGAAGTTGCTTCATGCACTTTCGGCGCTCTTTCGCGAGGCGTTGATTTTCAGGTAGCTCATGCGGCAGGACTAAACCGTGCACGACAGTCTTCATCTCCTCCAGCCGCCTGACGACAAAAGCAAACATTTTTCCCATCCCCGCAACCGAGAGTGGAACCCCTGTAGACCACGTGAAAACCAAGTCTGAGGAATGAACGCAGGTAGCTGAGGAAGTTACCAGTGGAACGACGGATGTATGAGTTCCTTTGTAAGGCCGTAAACTGAGTTGTCGCGGTCAATGCGAGAATAACCCTTTTTCTCGCGGTTGTCACTGACACGCCAACGCTGTACACGCACACCCACAGACGTCCGCCAAACGTAAAGGCAATCACGTGTTGCAGTAGATGCCATCCGTAGCGCCTCCTAAAGCTATAGTTGGAGCGCAAAGGTAGTGCAGTGTTTCAAATACTTACTTCGACCATTTCTGTACAAAGCTTTCTCCAAGCGAGTAAAGGAACGTTGCCGATGTTGAGATTAGGTGAATCTGGCATGTTGCTGATGCAAAACATCTGGCGATTTGATTTCTTAGAGCCTGTTCAAGGACCACAAGCACTTGGATAACAGCACGAGGTTCGTCTGGTCTCCGCATACATTCAAGTGCATTCCTAGAGCGCATTTTGAGGTTCTGTTGGCCAGCCCGAAGCCTCATCATGTGCGTAAACTGAAAATCATATGACACCAACCCACCAAATTCGCGAATATAATCCTCCAGCTCCTTCGCGCCTAAGCCTTCTCTTCCCTTGATGACCATCACCCCGCCGACTTCCAGTAAAGGCTGCAGCTGCGGCATGTACGGCTCGTACCTGAGCCAGCACATGCCAAACAATACTTGACGCGGCGCTTATCCGTGAAAGGCCGCATCATTAGTTAAGCACTATTTTGCTTCTCTATGCAAATACACCATTTATTTGGGCACCAACAATTCTGAGTCTCACCATTCATGGGCGAACACGGGCCCACAAGGCACTGGGTAATCCAAAGGAGGCCGCACTGCCTTCCCCTGCTGTTTATACATCGTCGACGGCTCGAGGATACTTTGCAGCTGGTTGCGGCATGGCCACCCTGGCCAGGACAAAAGCGGCCCCTGAACCACAAATAACTTGCTGGGTAGCCTCCAAATTTCTACCTCTGCAATAAGGAATTGAATTATGCAAGAATCTACAACTCCAAACGGCTCATAGTTCTATTCGCCTCAATCCTACTCCGAGTTGTTCTACTACGGCAGACGACGTACCAATTCTGGGCCGGTTTTCACCGTGCTAATGAGCGCTCCAGTTGGCATGAACACTTCTATGGGATGCTCCTTCCCCTTGACCTTCATGCTCGGCAGCTGTTTGAATTCCATGGCATGCTCTGCCGCGCGGTGCGTGTTCCTGAGCACACAAAACCGCATCCACTGGCTCCGAATATCGAACAAAAGACGACTAGCTGCTGCATTGATCAGGATGAATCTGCAGGGGCTAGATAACTAGAGGTTTTTTGGCGCTTTCTACACGTCTCCTGTACTAGCACTGTCTTACGCATCGACATATATTTCGCGGGGCCCCGCCTTTGCCATGAGCCTGGCCGCGAGGTTGACGAAGTCCCCCAACGCTGTGTATTCCTTCCGTAAGTCATTTCCGACAGTCTGCACAGAAACCACAACGGTGAGATGCCTTTCGGCGCTCTGGCGACAGTCGACTGCGACGAAGCCAGGCATCTGCTTCTACCTGCTGAACTACTTCAAGGTTCGCATACCCCACACCAGACCCGGCCGCTGGTGATGCCAATTCCAGCGTCAAGTCCAAACATCTTCATGCCGTCAATCACACGCAGTCCCGCCATGATGGCTGAGAGAAAGTGCGAGGCACAAACAGCAACCGGAGCGGGAACTCGCAAATGCGTGTCAGCTCACAATAGCACTGCGATCCCAGGCTCCAGTATTAAGCCCAAACGTCCTATGGTTTGCCTCACATTCTGGTTTGCTTTCGCAGCTATTTGTACTCACCTCGAACAGGGTCATCTAGGTGATACACTGGAGGCAATCCGAACATTACGAGCAGCAAAACCCCTTTGTCGTCCACAAGGAATTTATTCACAGATCCTTCCTGCAAGCATGAGCGAGAGCAATGACGCAATAACAACTTCCTGCGGGTTCAACCGTGATAATGCACCGGAAAAGGCAAAGCTAGGGTTATGCAACTAGCTTAAATTGCCCATAAGGACCGCACCATGGTATACGCTGCCTTCTGGGTCATCTTCATGAGCTTGTGGGCAACTTGACTTCCAGTTGCGGACGAAACATCAAGTCCCCGCACGCAAATGAACATCACCGACACCTGAGAACAATGCAATGAGACTAACGCCATCTTAAGCATAATTACCTACAATGCTGTGTGTTTCCAATGCGAGGCAAGCTTTCAACGCAGGACTTACCGTCCTCAGTTCGTTCAGGAACACGTTGCAGCCCGATTTGAGTCGTCTGAAGACCGCCGGTGGGATATACCTGAGAGAGCCAATCACCCAGTGTCCCACGAGAAGCAGCTCAGCTCTGTTTCGGTGCAAGGCTCCGGGTCTAGGCTACGTCAGCCATTGATGTAAGACAAAAAACACAAAAATGTCGGGGAGATACTGGGTGCATATTTGCTTACCTGCGGAGGAGGTCAACATCGTCTGCGTCGACTTCAATGGGAGCTAGGGGAGGGGGAGGTTCAACCTTCCAATCGGCAAGCTTGTGGATTCTCTCCAGTTCTTCCTCCTCTGCGTCGTCATTCGGTGCCTCTTCTTCTCCACTGGAATGGCTACCCTGTTGCCGCTCGTGAGCAATCTTCACCAAATCATCCGCATGAGGCAACAGCCGGTAAAACTGCCTCCCAGGCGGGGAATCGCTCACGGGCTCCAACGTAGCAACGCCGTGCATCGCATTTGCCATCGTTGGCGAAATAACCGTCTCGCCTGGCGCAAAAAACACGATCAAGTACTTACCGCATGCCCTTAAGACATCTCTGTGGGGGAAAGGCTAAGATTTCGGGTATCAACACATATATGCGAAAAAGAGGGAAGAGAAGGGAAGCCAACTTGTAGGGGCAAACTTGCCTGTGCTAGCTAGCGGCTCCGCAATTGAAATTTCTTCTAAAGGTGCTCCTGCCACCACGTACTCCCACCGATCCATGATGCCTCCAACCTGATCATCCTCAGAAGCGCAAAACTAATAAACATTCGAGCCTCCAAACGCTTAAGCCTAAAGCAGGCACCAATTGTCGCGCCTTCTCGCTTACAGATTCTTCTACAGAGGGATCCCTCCATGGCAATGGAGTTGACCCTGCAACCAACTGCTGCTGCTGGAAGCTCAAGCAGAGAAGGACTGAGTCGTCATGACGTTCGTTATTTTCTTTAGTGGTACTTACTCAGCACACACAACAGCAGGTGCCTAAGAACATTTACGTGAAGAAATGCTGCGAACACGCTCACGCTCGCTGAACTACGGACCTGTAGAATTGTGACCCGCCCAAAGCCAGCACCAATGTGCAGAGTCAATGTCTTCCCAGCAAAGCCTGTCGGGTACTTGTGTAGTGACTGGTGAAGGTTCATGCAGCATTTTGCGGCCAAAAGACAAGCCTGTCGAGCATCCACTCGGTATTCGTTGTCGTCCGCTCCGTTTATCTCTTCGCCTCAACAAACGAACATAGCAAATGCCAGACAAAAGTGTTTAACAACGATGCCGAAATAGCTGGGTATCAGACGTAGGCGATTTGAAAGCACTTGAGACAATTCACACTCCGTGCATCAGCCCTAATGCAACAGAAAAAGGTGTTTCACCTGTGGCAGCATCACGGCGATCCTCCTCCTCTTCATCATCTACTGGCCATACAACTGTCAGAGCATCGCCGCTGAATTTGATGATGTCTCCTCCCCAGAAGTGCACAATGCGAATAATCTTGTCAAAAAACTTATTGATAATCTGAAGGATACACAACACCTCACCATCCTCACAAATTATCTCGTGCTGCAGCATTAACCGTCTTTCANAATCTGAAGGATACACAACACCTCACCATCCTCACAAATTATCTCGTGCTGCAGCATTAACCGTCTTTCATGCAACTAAAGTCATAAATAGGTCCATGCCCATCTGCCTATTGGTTTGTTCGCTTCAAGCGGCAGAACAGTGAGCTCGACCCACACCGCCAAGTCGTTCTGCGCCATTCGGTTGGGTGTCAAGGGCCTCCGTGAGTGCTGTAAAGCCACTTGCGTCGCAGAAGACCTGCAATAAAGGCGGACAGTAGCAAATGATCACTCCCAAGAAGCGCAGTTCAGAGCGAATGCACTCTGTATCCGCTTATGCAACTCTCTTCGGTGCACGCCAGCTAAAACCCTAGCACAAGGAAGCTGCTCCTTAGCCATCTACACTAAGAAAGCATCCACAAGAGACAGTAAGACACCCCAACAGCAAATGCATTGCTACTAGGTCAAGACGTACAACGGCAGCCGTGAAGCTCTCAACTTGCACGTCGAAGTCATCCGAGTACCTGCAGCAATGCACACAGACCGTCGAACTGCCTGCGGCTTGCTCTCAGGTTCTGCAGCTTCACCCCCCATCTGATTCCACACCCGCCAGGCCAAACAACCAAACAGCCGCCATACAGTTGCAGCATTTCGTCGACGCTCACCTGATGCGTTTGTCTGCAATGGCTTCTAGCACTGTCCTGGGCACGAAGCAGGAGAACTGCTTCACATCAAGCGAGTGCCCTGCACACGAGAAGAACCAGCCAGCAATTCATGCTCCAAGAAATTTCATTTGCCTCAGCAACCCACGCCCCGACCCCTTAAGCGGAAATACGCAGCTACGGCGAGGGACAGATAAAGCCACGAGCAAGCAACTGACCAAGTGTGTCGGCGATCTTGTCCGGCCTAGCCGACCGTTGCTGCATTGACGCGTTAAGTCGCCGTTCGCACCTCAAGGCAAGCCAACGCCAGTCCTGCGAGACTGCATCTCCCTGAAGACAAAATACGACAAGCAAGCAGCAGAAGCAAATGCATGAATGCCAAATCACCTTAGGCTCGCCTCGCCTCTCCTTCACGGTGCTACACGCCTCCCAGCCAATCCCATATGCATCCAAACATGTCGCTCAGTAACACAACAGCAGCAGCCACTGATGCCTTCAGCAACACATAAACTGCAACAGATGGAGAAGCGCGTGCACGCCCGTTTAAAGCTGTTGCACTGAAACTCACCTGAGGCATCAGAGTCTCGGATGACTGTTCAATAGGCGGTGGCCTCTCTGGGGCTTGGGAGCGGCGCCGTGAGCTGCCCCACAGAGAAAATCCCTCGTAGAGACCACCGGGGCGACTGGCGGAAGTCCCTCCTTCCAACAAACGCACATAAAACCGCATTCCTCACCTGCTGCAGATACATATTCGACTCTCCAAGCCGTCGGATGCTGTGCAACCAGAGGTACGCGAGTCTCTCTTAATACACAGCTAAACTCTATCCGCAAAGTCTACAGTTCCGCCCAAAGCAAAAACACTCAACACAGGATGGGGAGTAAAGGACGTTTGGCCGGGCTACGCACTGTACAGCGCTGCGCGCCACAGTTGCGACTTTCCAGGCTNGGAGTAAAGGACGTTTGGCCGGGCTACGCACTGTACAGCGCTGCGCGCCACAGTTGCGACTTTCCAGGCTCAAACTCGCAGTTGCTTCGTGAAAAAGAGATGATACCCAATGCAAATAGTCACTGTTGCTTCTGTAAGGTCCTCGTAAGTCATACTGCATGTAGGCCTCGCCGAGTGGCAGGAGACAAAGAACCGGTTCTGCGGAACACATGCTTGGAGCGTGTGTTCTCCGACGCCTCTTCGCTTTGTCTTACCATCGTCGTAGCTTGAGCGATGCAGACGGTTCCCCATCGACTGAACAAGTGATCATGCGAAAACTCTAAGCGCTGGAGGCTTCTTCGCCGTCTCCTTTCGGCCTTTGAGTCCGTCTACGCAGCATGCTTAAGACCGCCTGACACTATAGCAGTAGCATCCCCAGACACTTACACGCAAAAAATGCACGCTGTGTTGAAGGAAGCGTAGTTACGCTCCAGAGTCCAACGGAGGTTTTCGCAGAATGCGCTGTCTCGCGCGGTGTATAGGGTAATGGCTCCCACCCCCAACAGTGCTTCTCTGCGCAGCAGAGAAGATGATCCAAGTCGGACTGAAAAATCGATTTCGGCCAGATATTTTGTCTCCCGTGTTTTTACACTGGGAAGAGCAGCTCAGCCCAACTCGCAGCCGCGGTGTCGGTGGACCTCGATGGAGAGCCACTGGCTCGTGAGCGGCAACGGGTTGGCAGGAAAGCCCAAGGCTGCACCCTGACACTGCAATGTCTTTGTCTTGTTAATACCTGACACTACTTAAAACTCTACACTCTACAGAAACCTCCGGTCTGCAGTATGAAAGACGGCAGGGAAGCGCAGGCCAGGAGGCGCTCGACGAGATGGTGCCGCAGCCCCGCCGAAGCCGCATGCAAGAAGACAGTCGATCGTTGCAATTGTAGATGCAATCATANTGGTGCCGCAGCCCCGCCGAAGCCGCATGCAAGAAGACAGTCGATCGTTGCAATTGTAGATGCAATCATAGATTAAAAACCCATAATTCCTCCAGTTTTTGTGCACTTTCAATCATTCAGCCTCCTCCTGCAGTGTGGCTCAACGGGGCTTGTTGGAATATGTGGGTTTACCATTCTTCGGGAGAGCATATCCACGGTTAGGCGGCGCTTGTCTGCCTCGTGCGTGTCGATCAGTAGTGAACATTTACGAGTTAAAGCCATGAGTAGGATCTTCTTCGAAAGTGGCATTCTCCTGCAGTAGAAGAGATGCCTTGCAACGCCCGCCCTGTTGTACACGCCCGCAGATGATCTGCATATTCTATGGATGGAAGGAAGAAGTGTCTCCTGAAGCGTAAAGCTTTCTTCAGATCATTCAAAGTATGCACTGGTGGCGTTCGACGGCAAGCTGTTGACTGTTCGGCAGTCACCTCTGCAAATTCAATGATGAAATTTTGACTTCGTTGTGCGCAACTGGTGACGAGGAATGAGGCTCCCTTACACTGCGCCGCCAAGACCTCGGAACTTCCCTGCAACGCCTCTGATACAGTGTGCCTGCTGCCGCTTTCCGACTTGGTGGGGAGGAGATAACCCAGGAGAAGTAGTATACAAAGCGGATGGTGGTGCAGCACCAGTCGCCCAGGAGGACATTCAGAGCACGAAGACGCAGCAGAGCAGGTCGAAAGCACTCAGCAGAACAGCATATCGAATTACACTTCAACCGCTGCATGCTAAGCTTCTGCCACCACACTCTCGTCAGGCTCCGCCACAGACTTTATTTACCCCAGTAGCCGCAGCCTCCACGACTTTTTCCCCGCAGCCTCATTTGCATGTCTCACGTAGCTCGTTGGCGTCAGTCCATGGGGCGATTCCCCACTTTCTGTCCGACCTTCAGCCGCAAAGGTGCAGAGGCGGCCGGGCAGAGGACGCTTTAACGAGGAGAGGAGAGGCGGACAGCGAGGTGACATCAGCAGCACAGAGTGGCGGTGTCAGTGCATCGACAGATTCTGAACTGCTGCCCGTTGTTTCCGCTGGAACCCATGGAGCCCTCTCTGATTCTCCTTCCTTTTGCGATGAAACATCTCAGAGAGGCGACGGGAAGTGCGACCTGCTACAGCTGCAGAGCCGCTACGANCCTTTTGCGATGAAACATCTCAGAGAGGCGACGGGAAGTGCGACCTGCTACAGCTGCAGAGCCGCTACGACGCGCTGCTGCACAACCCTCAGGCATTCAGCATGCAGGTGCAGCTACTGCACGCATGCATTCAAAATGCGCAACAGCAGCTAGCGAAGAGTGTGTACATGAAGGAGCTGCTGCCGTTGCAGCAGCGGCTCCGCACCCCAGGCACCGATGCGTGTTTGCAGGTGCACCCTCTTCTCTACGCTGCTTTCTGCATGTACAACCCGAGTCATATTCGCATTGCTGCAGCAAAGCGTGTGGGTGCTGCGGAGCACTTCCTCGGTGAGTATTTAAAGGCCAGAGGCAGCAGGGGATACAGACGCAGACCTGTCTCAGAGATCAGCAGGCGGGGCAGAGCTGCAGCTGATGAGTGGCTGGCGCATACCTCTCTCAGCAACATATGCATCTACCCCTTAGAGGCCTTGTCCCCGCAGCTGCGCCTCTTTTCTTTAGCGGCCCCACAGCGGCTGGCCGCCTGGGAAGCCATTCTTTCTCGAGCTCTTGCAGTGTAATGCCAGTGAATGGTGGAGTACATGCGCCTGCATTGTAGAGTGGCATCGATGCAGATATCTCGCGCCTAGGCTTACTTTGCCTTCCTTGGGCGGTTGACGGCTGCTGGCCCGGGAAACGCCCATCACACGGATTCATTTTGATCTCAAGGTGCCAGCCGGGGGATGGCGTCATAGGAAACCAGCATTCACCAGGAAAGTGCATCGCAGCGCCGATGCGCTGCTACATAGTTTTTTATTGAGCATTTAGGTCTTTCTNTCACCAGGAAAGTGCATCGCAGCGCCGATGCGCTGCTACATAGTTTTTTATTGAGCATTTAGGTCTTTCTCTTGATATGTTGCAAGTTGCAAACCGCGTGGGGTGTTACGCGATGCAAGAATACGTCAGACGTGCCCTTGGCTAGATGGCTGAGTGGTTTAAGGCAGTGCCTTCAGGCCGCAGTTCTCGAGGGCGTGGTTTCGAACCGCCCTCCGGTCAATTCATGTGCGTACGGACAGCGGCAGGGTGTCTATGGCAGTTCATTTTCTTGGCATTATTTTTAACATGCCGTCCAGTGAGCTAAGAGCTAATATCATTGTGTGCCGCCTTCTACAACCCGTAGGGAATTTGCGCTGCTGGTGGATCGCCCAAGGGTTTAGAAAGAGCTTGCAAACGCTGTAAGTTCTGCCTTTGTGAGCTGTGGGTGAATGCCTCGTGGCTATGTGCTCGGAGCAGAACAGAGGATAGAGCTGAATCTGATTGTGATGCGAGTAAAGAAGGACCGGTGTAGCAACTCGCCGCAGTCCCTCCCCAGTCGATGACGAAGGTCGGGAGACGTACGCTTCACAGTAAACACATGGGAGCACAGCCGAACTGCTTATAGTCCCAGGATTCCTAGTCGTCCCCTCACTGTCACGCATTGTAGGCGAGGACGGAGCAAATTAACTGAGCGCTCCTTCAGGGTAAACCTTAGCCCGACTGTTAAGGTTTACCCTTCACTGGTAAAACTTGAAAGTGGTTAGTGGGAACAAGAGAACCACTAGGCGAGGCTAGGTGTGTCCAAATTTAACTACTCTCATGAGCGTAAACACTTTACTGGGAGATATGGTGAAGATCATACAATGTTGTTCTGCAAAGCTGTGTTTTTTTCTCCAACAAAACAGGTGAAGTACGAATGCTCGATATTTCGACAACAGTGTCTGTCTGAGTTGCTCGTAGAAAGCCGCGAGCTGCAATGACGCGTTACGATGGACGGCGGAGTCGAGGTTCTTACTAACTGCGTTATGAATTAGTTGCCATAAGACGATTCAGACCAAAGTACTCCCCCATGTACAGCAGTTGAGCAGAGGAGTCCCATTAATACGAATGCAGTTGGGGGGCGTGCAGACACTCACAATAGTTCAACAGTACTACAGCACACGGGCGTACGTGCAATGCAGACCGTAGTTGAACGCCTCATAAGTTGCGAAGTTGCCTGAGTGGATGGACTTGGAAGGAGAACCCCTCACCTTAAAACATAACTGAGTTCATTTAATTCAAGATATTCGTTTGTGTATTTGATCTGAAACTCACTTATCAC